GTGTCGTTCAATTATCAGGGTAATTCTCCAGATTTCTCAATCTTTAGTCTGGCACAGTTTGATGCAGTTTGGCCGCTCTTTCTCTGCATTCTAAGGGGCCAACCATCTCGGCCAGCACGTCGGATCTAGCTACCTCGGGCTATCATTTTTACGACGCTCCAAACAGAGGGATCCAGAACCTAATGGCTCCAGACTTGTGAAACTTGTGAAACTGAGAATGCTGCTCTCTGCTTGCCTCACCAGGGGTCCAAAGGGCTAGAATGAAGGAAGGACAGCATGGTCTCCCGTCCGGTCAGCAACCCCTTTCCCTTTCCCAGGCTCAGCAGCACAGCAGCACATCTTGATACATCTTGTGGAATGTCAAAGGCTCTCTCAAGTCCAGCGGGATCCGCGATCACTTCTGCTCACCTATCATATTGCAAATTTCTCTGCTAATATCTGAGACTGGTTCTATAAATATATATATATAGGTCATTGCCATTGCATTCTACCTACCATGCCAATTGACTCAAAATGATTCAAATGTGTAGGTACGCCTGATAGGGACCCGATTTTATGCGAGCAAGGTACGTGGCGACCGTGACCCCATTGGGGGTTGGGGCACCATGCGCATTGCCATCGGTACTGGTGGCCCTTCTAGGAATGAAGGATGCGGGTACGATTGACTGAACAGCTCAGCTTCTCCTCGGTCAAAGGTAAATCGACGGGGCCAAAGTTGTATCCCTTCAAGGTAGAACGCTCCAAAAGGATCCAAAAGGCAATTGTTCACCACCTTCCATCGCTTCCAAGATCTTTCGTGCACTCATCTGCACTCTTTATTGTCTTAGATCGTCTTGATTCAACTTGCGGAGACACCCACAGCAAACTCAGTGTAGCACGGGTGGCTTCAAGAGCCTGCATCCATGGCAGGATCAGCTGAGCTAAGCTGATTGAAAATTTTCCGATGCAAGATGCTACGAAAGTGCTAGAAACATCCAAAAACATCCCCTTCAGCATCGTTCAGCCCTCAGCTGAGTCTAACCAACTTCAGCCTCCTGTTCATCGCTGGCGGTCTTTCCGGGGCTGTCTTCCCCTGAGGGTTTGGGTGGGCTTAGTGGTGGCCAAGCATCATATCATGTCACATCATGTCATATCATTCTCGAAATATTCTTGAAAATGTTGAAGGGACTTGATTATCTTGAATCTTGATATACGATACAGGAGAAATACACTGGTCCCAGCCGTGCCTTGAAAATCCCATGATGCTCCCCGGTGTCGCGGGGGCCGACTCTCCTCCACTGAATTGACGGGAATGGCACCATGTGGTTTGGTGCGACTCAGTGGAATGTACATGTGTTATTCCCCACCTGCCAGGTGAGGGTTGTTAGATTTTATCAGGGTTGTTCTTCTCCTTCTCCTTCTCCTTCTTCTCCTTCTCCTTCTCCTTCTCCTCCTTCTCCTCCACCACCTCTGCATCCACTTCCAGGTCCACTTCCGCCACTTCCATGTCCACTTCCGCCTTGCCAACTCTTCGCCAAGCTCTTCGCCAACTTCCGCGCGCAGTGGGCACTGCTGGACCTCAACTGCCGGCTTCCGATCTGAGTGGGCACGGCTGGACCTCAACCGCAAGGGTCTGAGCGCAGTGGGCACCGCTGGACCTCAACCTGGGACCCTCCGAGCTCAGTGAGCAGCGCTGGACCTCAACCTGGGACCCTCCGAGCTCAGTGAGCACCGCTGGACCTCAACCTGGACCCTCCGAGCTCAGTGAGCACCGCTGGACCTCAACGGCCAGATAGAATGCCAGAAGATATGCCAGATAGAACGCCAAATAGAATGTCAGAAAGAATGCCAGAAGATATGCCAGATAAAGTGCCAGAATGTTTGCCAGATAGAATGCCAGAAGATATGCCAGATAGAATGCCAGAAGGTATGCCAGATAGAATGCCAGAAGGTATGCCAGATAAAGTGCCAGAATGTTTGCCAGATAGGACGCCAGAAGATTTGCCAGATAGAATGCCAGATAGAATGTCAGAAGATATGCCAGATAGAGTGCCAGAAGAGATGCCAGAACATATGCCAGAAGATATGCCAGATAGAATGCCAGAAGATATGCCAGATAAAATGCCAGAAGATATGCCAGATAGAATGCCAGAAGATATGCCAGATAAAATGCCAGAAGATATGCCAGATAGAATGCCAGATAAAGTGCCAGAATGTTTGCCAGAACAATGCCAGAAGATTTGCCAGATAGAATGCCAGATAGAATGATATGCCAGAAGATATGCCAGATAGAGTGCCAGAAGATATGCCAGAACATATTGCAGAAGATATGCCAGATAGAATGTCAGAAGATATGCCAGACAAAATGCCAGAAGATATGTCAGATAGAATGCCAGAAGATTTGCCAGTAACAAAACGTATAGATGTCATGGTGGGGATAACTCGAAGTAAACCTGAACTTTCCTTCGGTACACTAAAAAGTGCTCAGAAACAAAAAACGCTCATTTCCAAAAAAAGTGCTACAAAACCCTTGAAAAGTGCTCATTTGGTTGTTTCATTTTGTCGGGCACCCCCACATGTTCAAACAGCCGGATCCCCAAGGATTCTTGCAACATACACTGACACAATCACGCTATGCTTAGGATCACGCTGCTTAGGCTCTCCGCAACCAACATCGTTCGCCGCTGCTTCAAGCAAGTCATCAAATTCACTTGGATGGGCCGAACTAGACACTTAAGCTATTGAATATCCACATTTGAGAGGCAAGTGTCAGTAGTGCCCGTACACTTTTTGAATTGCGCCCCGATTGCGCGAAATTGCGCCCTGATTGCGCGAATTTGCGCCCCGATTGCGGGGTACCAAGTTGTCCAAAACGTCAAAAAATGTCAAAACACAGACAAATGTGTAGAATCAATTCTTTTGAGTTTGGTCCCAATGTGCATCCTCCCCAGGAAGCATAAATTAGGAGATAGATGCTAATTTAGATGCAAAACTCGCTTCCAGGATTGGCTTCCACCAGCTTGAGTATGGGCTACTGTAACTTTGTGGATTTCTCCAAGAGTTTAATAGATACGAAGGTGTAAAATGGGTTTGAACCCCAAAAAGTGCTCATATCCATTGAAACCCCCAAAAAGTGCGCAGACCCTCAAAAAACGCTCAGGGATGGCAGAAAGTGTATCCAACCAGGGGGTTGCCAGAAAAAAGTGCTACAATGGAATCTCCAGGAAGTAATTGTTGTTAATTTCATTTAATTTCTACATGTCCGGATCACGCAGAGCTGTCCAGGTCGATTCGCTCTGGAAAAATTGGCTGCGGTGGCAATGGACCTAGACCTTGGAGTGGCTCAAATTTTGGGGACCGGGACAGGCCAAGTAGATCAAATGGAGTAAAAACATGTAAAATGAAACTCGGTCAAACTTTCTTCCTAATCGTCCGAATCTCATCTAATCTCTACATCCAAAATCAAAATATTCAAAATCTCAGAGCTTCCGTAATTCTCCGTATGGTTCCAAGCTCTGAGAGGATGGCGCTTCCCCTTTTGCGCGCGGTGCGCGAAGAGTGGCTCCAACTCGGCTGTGGGCGCAATTCTGGGCTAAATTCTGGGATAATTGCGCTGCCATGATTGGTGCCTAAATATGGCCATGGAGTGCCATAGAAAAACACGGTCACTCCAAGATGATCCAAGAAATACCAAGGCATGCACCCTGTCAGCTTTCTCGAAGATTCGTGCGACGGCAGGAGGCAGTCCCATGGCCCTTGGGGCGTGCCTTTGGTTCTCCCCACAACTCACTTTCAAGAGTGACCATGTGCAGCGCACATCGGTGAAGCTGAGGTTCAGGCATGGGAGCATCCACTCGGTTCCTATCCATAAGCCTATCTGGCAGGCCGGGCTGCCATTGGAACTTGAGAGCTGCAAGAAATCGAGCATTTAATGGTCAAAGGGCAAGTATACTCCGCACATTGTCGCGCTATCAACTACAAAGGAGGAACTTTGAGTGACCACTGGCTAAATTCACTAAATGTTCTGCCACCCGCATTTTCATGCTGTTGTCTCCAGGTCCAGGTTCTGCATTTTTAATGCAGGAGAAGTATTGGAGTGATGTGAGTTGCTGGAGTAGCTCAAAACGAGCCCCATGGACACTGTACTTGAAAGCGGAGAAACTCACTAAGGCAGCGCTGCAGTTGCTGGTGCAACGCGCCAAGAGTGCGCACTTTGGCATATGTGTTGTGCAAACTGTTCGAGAAAGGAACCCCATGCATTTGCAAGACCTGGTGTCGTAGACACAAAGTTTGCACAGCACATGTTTTGGCCGCAGAGGACTGGGCCTTCCATCACTAAATCGTAAAACCACCAAGGTTTAAATCAGGCAAAGCTCGTAGCTCGTGCCATGCGAATTCATGCTTAAAAGCGCCGGACATCAATAAGGCCTTTGGCCGAACTCTATCCGCAGGGCTTCAAAATAGTTGTACATTTCATCTTCTGACACACCATTGATGTACAGGAAGTACGCCCGCTCAAGCACCCTCTTTTCAAACTCGTGCGCCCACCGCTCTTTCTCAAAAGCCACCTGAGACCACAGGCAGGGAGCATGACATGACCCACCCAAGAAAGTATTCCAGTATGTTGCAGCTCCCCCTGCAAACGTTGGATTCCCAAAAAATCTAGTTGGTCGCACTGAAGGCACTACCATTCCTGCAAGCCCTTCAGGGCGAAAGCCAGCTGAAAGTTGAAAAAACATAGAAATATAAAAAGATACTCGTTTTTGGAGCGTCACTAGGTTTTTTGGAGACTTGTACACGCAAACAAATCAAGGATCTACTCTACAGGCATTCTTGTGACAATCCAGGGACGCAACGATCAAACTCAAACCTTGCATGTGCACATATATATATATATAATATACATATACATATACATAATTATACATACACACACACATATATATATATATATATATGTATTTAAAAAAAAAAAACACATACAGTAAATGAAAGCCAAGCGGCTTTGCGTGCATCGCTGTGCTCCTTTTGGCTCTTCAGGATGTTCTCCAGACTGCCGTGGGACGAGCTGCGAGCAGTTCGCTCAGAGTGCTTACGGCTCTTCTTTGACCGATGCGAGCCATGCCTGGTGTACATGTCAGTGAGCTCCTGGGAGCAGTTTACTGTTGTCTGCAGAGGCGGTGGCTGACTCTGGTCTGGCTGTGTTTCTTGTGGCATTGGCTGTGGCTCGTGTGGACGTGTCATCTGATACAAGTATTGGGCCACTGTTGCAATGGGATTCTTGAACCCTTCATCACCGCCGTGGCCGCTCGAGTTGTGATGAGTAGACGAACTGGGATGCGTATGATTTTCTTGGTTCTTCCTTGCTCGTTTCGAGCCAGTTCGTCTCGTGTACATTTGTGTGAGCTCACTCGTGCAATTCACTGTTGTCTTCAGCACTGCTGCATCTGCGTGCAAAGGCTGTGGCTGACTTGACTGGTGCGCCTCTTCTCCCTCCGACACATTTGGTTGGGTCATCTCGTACAAATACTGAGCAACTGTGGCAATGGGCTCCTGGAACCTCACCCTCCTTCTATTGCCACTGGAGTCGTGATGGACAGCTGAGGGAGGCCCTGGATCGCTAGGCTCTTTCCAAGCCAGGAAACCTGATGTGTGGGATGCTTGTGATCCCCGGCTTTCCTTCTGTCTCTCATGCGAGGTTCCTTGGTGTGCCACCTTCACTTGGAAGTTTTTGGAATGTGCTGCTTCTGCGCTATGCGATGGACCGTGCATCACTTCGGAACTGTCGCAAGAACTGGGCAAGTCAGGCAAGAGGGAGATGCTGTGTGAGCGTGCACTTTCCGAGGGGCCCCCCTCACCAGACCAAGCTGACATCTGAGATCCTTGCATGGCACCTTCTGCCAAGGGTCTTGAAGGCGGGGGTGCTATGGCTCTGGAGTCTCTTGGCACATCTTTACCAGCACATGTTCCAGATGATGCAGGTGCCTTCCCTTTGAAGACATGAGGATGCGCTGCTCCTGCGCTATGCGATGGCCCTTGCGTCACTTCGGACCTATCGCAAGGACTGGACAAGTCAGCCAAGAGGGAGAGACTGTGTGAGCGGCCCCTTTCCAGCGGACCCCCGTCACCGGACCAAGCTGACATCTGAGATCCTTGCATGGCACCTTGTGCCAAGGGTTTTGAAGGCTGGGGTGCTATGGCTCTGGAGTCTCTTGGCATATCTTTGTCAGTTCCAGACGATGCAGGTGCCTTCCCTTTCAAGACTTGAGGATGCGCTGCTTCTGCGCTATGCGATGGCCCTTTCACCTCGTCAGACCTATGCAAAGGACTGGACAATGCTATGGCTCTGGAGTCTACTGGCATGTCTCTGCCAGTTCCAGACGATGCAGGTGCCTTCCCTTTCAAGACTTGAGGATGCGCTGCTTCTGCGCTATGCGATGGCGATGGCCCTTTCACCTCGTCAGACTTATGCAAAGGACTGGACAATGCTATGGCTCTGGAGTCTACTGGCATGTCTCTGCCAGTTCCAGACGATGCAGGTGCCTTCCCTTTCAAGACTTGAGGATGCGCTGCTTCTGCGCTATGCGATGGCCCTTTCACCTCGTCAGACCTATGCAAAGGACTGGACAATGCTATGGCTCTGGAGTCTACTGGCATGTCTCTGCCAGTTCCAGACGATGCAGGTGCCTTCCCTTTCAAGACTTGAGGATGCGCTGCTTCTGCGCTATTCGATGGCCCTTTCACCTCTTCAGACCTATGCATAGGACTGGACAAATCCGGCAAGAGGGAGACACTGCTTGAGCGTCCCCGTTGCAACAATTCTCCCGCAGTATCATGGGGCGACATTTGAGATCCTTGCAAGCCAGCTTGCGCCACGTGGGTTGAAGGTTGAGCTGGAATGTCTCCAAAGGGCATATCTTTACTGGACGCTGCAGATGACTGTGAGATCTGCCTGAACTGCTGAAGCCATGGGATAGAACCAGGATCGACTGGAGTCCCCACAACGACGGCCTGTGTGAGTGGACTTGGAGTGTAAGGACTGCGCGGCGTGAAGTCCCTGATTTCAACTTCTGTTGAAAACCTCAAAGCCTTTGGCCTCTCCACGAAGCTCTCCGTCTTTGCCTTCTTGAGAATGCCAAGTCTTGGCCTCTCTTGTGATTCTGGCAAAGATCCGGTCCGACCAATTCTTGGCTGAGCATCTGCGCTGTCCCATCCAAACTTCGGACTTTCCTGCAACATTTGAGGTCCATGCATAATATTGGCTGGTTGCCGGGTATCACGCTCCATCCCTGTTGCTCCAGAACTGATCGCCCTGAAAGCACCAGAAGAAGCTGGGTGAGCCGAGCCAGGTTGCACCTTTGCCTCAGTGTCATGTCGCACAGACTGCTTAATCTCACTGACGCTAGTTGCCACCTCAGCAGTTGCCTGCTTGCAAGTGTCACCCTCTGAAGGCTTCTGCAAAGCTGTCGCTTCAGTGTCGCGTTGAACAATAAGCTTGACACTACTAACCATAGTTGCCGCCTCAGAAGCAGCTGGTTGAGCTGGACCATGTTGCACCTTTGCCTGCTTGTAAATGTCACCCTCTGAAGGCTTCTGTGAAGCTGTGGCTTCAGTGTCAGGTTTCACAGGCTGCTTGACATGACTAACCGTAGTTGCCGCCTCAGAAGCAGCTGGTTCAGCTTGGCCATGTTGCACCTTTGCCTGCTTGTAAGTGTCACCCTCCGAAGGATTCTGTGAAGCTGTGGCTTCAGTGTTAGGTTGCACAGGCTGCTTGATCTCACTGACTGTAGTTGCCGCCTCAGAAGCTCGTTGAGCTTGGCCATGTTGCACCTTTGCCTGCTTGTAAGTGTCACCCTCTGAAGGCTTCTGTGAAGCTGTGGCTTCAGTGTCAGGTTTCACAGGCTGCTTGACATGACTAACCGTAGTTGCCGCCTCAGAAGCAGCTGGTTCAGCTTGGCCATGTTGCACCTTTGCCTGCTTGCCAGTGCCATCCTTTAAGGGCTTCTCTGAAGTTGTTGCTTCAGTATCAGGTCGCACAGGCCGCTTGACATGACTAACCGTAGTTGCCGCCTCAGAAGCAGCTGGTTCAGCTTGGCCACGTTGCACCTTTGCCTGCTTGTAAGTGTCACCCTCCAAAGGATTGTGTGAAGCTGTGGCTTCAGTGTTGGGTTGCACAGGCTGCTTGATCTCACTGACTGTAGTTGCCACCTCAGAAGCTCGTTGAGCTGGACCATGTTGCACCTTTGCCTGCTTGTAAGTGTCACCCTCTGAAGGCTTCTGTGAAGCTGTGGCTTCAGTGTCAGGTTTCACAGGCTGCTTGACATGACTAACCGTAGTTGCCGCCTCAGAAGCAGCTGGTTCAGCTTGGCCATGTTGCACCTTTGCCTGCTTGTAAGTGTCACCCTCCGAAGGATTCTGTGAAGCTGTGGCTTCAGTGTTGGGTTGCACAGGCTGCTTGATCTCACTGACTGTAGTTGCCGCCTCAGCAGCTGATTGAGCTGAGCCATGTTGCACCTTTGCCTGCTTGCAAGTGTCATCCTTTGAAGGCTTCTCTGAAGCTGTGGCTTCAGTGTCAGGTTGCACAGGCTGCTTGACATGACTAACCGTAGTTGCCGCCTCAGAAGCAGCTGGTTCAGCTTGGCCATGTTGCACCTTTGCCTGCTTGCCAGTGCCATCCTTTGCGGGCTTCTCTGAAGTTGTCGCTTCAGTGTCGCGTTGCAAAGGCTGCTTGATCTCATTGACTGTAGTTGCCACCTCAGCAGTTGGTTGAGCTGGGCCATGTTGCACCTTTGCCTGCTTGTAAGTGTCACCCTCTGCTGTGGCTTCAGTGTCAGGTTTCACAGGCTGCTTGACATGACTAACCGTAGTTGCCGCCTCAGAAGCAGCTGGTTTAGCTTGGCCATGTTGCACCTTTGCCTGTTTGCCAGTGCCATCCTTTGAGGACTTCTCTGAAGTTGTCGATTCAGCATCAGGTCTCACAGGCTGCTTGACATGACTAACCGTAGTTGCCGCCTCAGAAGCAGCTGGTTCAGCTTGGCCATGTTGCACCTTTGCCTGCTTGTAAGTGTCACCCTCCGAAGGATTGTGTGAAGCTGTGGCTTCAGCGTTGGGTTGCACAGGCTGCTTGATCTCACTGACTGTAGTTGCCACCTCAGAAGCTGGTTGAGCTTGGCCATGTTGCACCTTTGCCTGCTTGTAAGTGACACCCTCTGAAGGTTTCTGTGAAGCTGTGGCTTCAGTGTCAGGTTTCACAGGCTGCTTGACATGACTAACCGTAGTTGCCGCCTCAGAAGCAGCTGGTTCAGCTTGGCCACGTTGCACCTTTGCCTGCTTGTAAGTGTCACCCTCCGAAGGATTCTGTGAAGCTGTGGCTTCAGTGTTAGGTTGCACAGGCTGCTTGATCTCACTGACTGTAGTTGCCACCTCAGCAGCTGGTTGAGCTGGACCATGTTGCACCTTTGCCTGCTTGTAAGTGTCACCCTCCGAAGGATTCTGTGAAGCTGTGGCTTCAGTGTTAGGTTGCACAGGCTGCTTGATCTCACTGACTGTAGTTGCCGCCTCAGAAGCAGCTGGTTCAGCTTGGCCATGTTGCACCTTTGCCTGCTTGTAAGTGTCACCCTCCGAAGGATTCTGTGAAGCTGTGGCTTCAGTGTTAGGTTGCACAGGCTGCTTGATCTCACTGACTGTAGTTGCCACCTCAGCAGCTGGTTGAGCTGGGCCATGTTGCACCTTTGCCTGCTTGTAAGTGTCACTCTCTGAAGGCTTCTGTGAAGCTGTGGCTTCAGTGTCAGGTTTCACAGGCTGCTTGACATGACTAACCGTAGTTGCCGCCTCAGAAGCAGCTGGTTCAGCTTGGCCATGTTGCACCTTTGCCTGCTTGCCAGTGCCATCCTTTGAGGGCTTCTCTGAAGTTGTCGCTTCAGTGTCGCGTTGCAAAGGCTGCTTGATCTCACTGACGGTGGTTGCCACCTGAGCAGCTGGTTGGGCTGAGCCATGTTGCACCTTTGCCTGCTTGCAAGTATCACCCTCTGAAGGCTTCTGTGAAGCTGTGGCTTCAGTGTCAGGTTTCACAGGCTGCTCATTCTCACTGACGGTAGTTGCCACCTCAGCAGCTGGTTGAGCTGAGCCATGTTGCACCTTTGCCTGCTTGCAAGTGTCACCCTCTGGGGGCTTCTGTAAAGCTGTCGCGTCAGTGTCAGGTGGCACAGGCTGCTTGATCTCACTGACAGTGGTTGCCACCTCAGCAGCCGGTTGAGCTGGGCCATGTTGCACCTTTGCCTGCTTGTAAGTGTCACCCTCTGAAGGTTTCTGTGAAGCTGTGGCTTCAGTGTCAGGTTGCACAGGCTGCTTGACATGACTAACCGTAGTTGCCGCCTCAGAAGCAGCTGACTGAACTTGGCCATGTTGCACCTTTGCCTGCTTGCCAGTGCCATCCTTTGAGGGCTTCTCTGAAGTTGTCGCTTCAGTGTCGCGTTGCAAAGGCTCCTTGATCTCACTGACTGTAGTTGCCACCTCAGCAGCTGGTTGAGCTGGGCCATGTTGCACCTTTGCCTGCTTGTAAGTGTCACCCTCTGAAGGCTTCTGTGAAGCTGTGGCTTCAGTGTCAGGTTTCACAGGCTGCTTGACATGACTAACCGTAGTTGCCGCCTCAGAAGCAGCTGACTGAACTTGGCCATGTTGCACCTTTGCCTGTTTGCCAGTGCCATCCTTTGAGGGCTTCTCTGAAGTTGTTGCTTCAGTGTCGCGTTGCAAAGGCTGCTTGATCTCACTGACGGTGGTTGCCACCTCAGCAGCTGGTTGAGCTTGGCCATGTTGCACCTTTGCCTGCTTGTAAGTGACACCCTCTGAAGGTTTCTGTGAAGCTGTGGCTTCAGTGTCAGGTTTCACAAGCTGCTCATTCTCACTGACGGTAGTTGCCACCTCAGCAGCTGATTGAGCTGGGCCATGTTGCACCTTTGCCTGCTTGTAAGTGTCACCCTCTGAAGGTTTCTGTGAAGCTGTGGCTTCAGTGTCAGGTTGCACAGGCTGCTGCTTTTTCTTACTGGCGGTGGTTGCCACCACGGCAGCTGGTTGAGCTGGGCCATGCTGCACCTTTGCCTCCTTGCAAGTGTCACCCTCTGAAGGCTTCGCTGACGCTTTCGCTTCAGTGTCAGCTTGCCCAGGCTTGACTTCCCTGACGGTAGTTGCCACCTCAGCAGCTGGTTGAGCTGGGCCGTGTTGCACCTTTGCCTGCTTGTAAGTGTCATCCTCTGAAGGCTTCTGTGAGCTGGATGCCCCAGTGCCAAGTTGCAGAGTTTCTTCTCTGACATTTTTCGCACTTGCCCTTGTTGCGGAGGTTTTTTGTGCGCGACCGTGTCCACTTGAGCTGGCTCGTCGAAAGTCTGTCCTTTGCCCGGAGTGACATTCCTCAATTGTCACAAATGTGCTCGCTTCGCCTTCTTGTGCCGCACCCTCCAAAACCTTGGGCAGGGCGGATTGTTCGTGGTATAAAGGCAGGTTTTGCTGCCTGGCGTTGTAAACAACTATATAGTCTAGTATTTTGCACGATATGAGTGACAACTTTATTTGGCATACATACAGGAAGGAAAAAAAATTAAAGAAGTCCCCTCCACAGTGTTTGCTCGGTTTCTAGTAGTCCACAAAAAATGCTTCTGGTGCATTCTGGTGCTGACCTTGTTTTCCAACGCTGTCACCCTGTTGCAAGAATGACAGGCCAGGGATAATCTGGCAAGACAATTTCATCTCTCTTGCACCATGCATTGTGACAGAGTGATGGAGGTGAGGCAATCAATGTTCTCTTGCGTTGTTTGCTCGTCGGTCCTCAAAAGATCAACCTGCATACTTTGTCAACATATTTCAGCCCTCATTTATCAGCTTTCAGTCCATTGGATACTTCCGATATCTTCCAGTTGTGTTGCTTGGTTGATACATTTGTACAGTTGGCAACAAACAACTTACAGTACCTGCAACTTTTACCTCTGTTAAACATGTTCGCTGCAAACCCCACGTTCGCCCGCATCGGATCCCGCATACCCTTTGAACTTTGACATGCTCAAATCCCTGCGTAGAGCTAGCGTTCTTTTTACTTTCCAAAACCGAAAACCCTAAAACCATCTAAAACCCAGAAAAACCCAAAAACCTAAAGCCTGAATTAAAACCCTAAATCCTAAAAACCTAAAGTCAAAATCGCTGCGTATAGCCAGCGATTTCATTCATCCTCTGATGATACGTATATGATATTGTTTGGGTGTTGTTTTGGTTGTTCTTTGGGTGTGGGCGAATCGTGGGGTTTGGCGCCAACATTCATGCTACCATACAAAGGTTGATGAGGCACGGTTGTGATTGCAAGAATCTTGAATACATAACAAAGCTGCACAATCCTCTCTTATGCCCAAGCTGATACCCATTTCATGTAAACGTGCAGTATTGCCCCCGTTGGCATTTCTTAGATCTTAGATAAATCATAAATATCCCCGTCTGTACTCCAACCTGGGGTACAGTCCTAGAAAAAAATCGGTCTAAAATGATGACCCCTAACCTTTGAGAGAGGTTTTAGAGCTTTAAATTCCTGGCTCCTAACCTCTGAAGCCGAAATCTCACTTCCAACCACCTTTTTGAATTTTCTTTGCTAATTTCCTGGTGCCCAACGTCCAACATCCAATAAATTTACCCCTCTGGTATCCAAGTAAAAAAATTATTTCCTGGATGCTTGCGTTGGTAACATGCCATATCTTCCCCCCCTCAATCTGATACGGAAAAAAATGAATTCCTGTTACCTGACTTCCCTGGGAGTCAGCTCGCATTTTTTCGGATGCCACGGCTTCACAAATGCATTCACCAGCAATGCGCAACCCTGCATTCACCAGCAAGTCAGCCATGTCGCAGATTCGTGGTGAGCCCCATGATTTCTTAAAATTATTGCCATTGCATGCCTCCAAAAACATTCTACATCATAACCTGCATTATCCATCATCGTGGCTCAAGATGGTTCAAGATTATCTATGTCACTATGTTAATTTGGTAACCACGGACAGGAATTCAGGAAAATGCGCAACCCTTTTGCATGGACAAATGTATCTTCAGGAAAAAACGCCTGTTTTGCAATTTGGCCACACGTTGGAACAAAATTCTTCAATTTGTCCCAGCATTTCCTATCTATGGATGGTTGGCCTGGTGATGCGATTTTTTTCCTGTGGGGCCAGCCTTTGAAGATCATCCGCGAGAATTCGGCCAAAAAAAGGTCCAGCCCCTTGGATTTTATTTTTGACACCTGCGCCTCGGCCTCTTCAAGTCACTTTTTTGGTTGGTGAAGCTGAACATGTGTGTCTGCACCCTTTTGCAAGGACAACTGTATTTTCAGCAAAAAAAACATGTGTTTTGCAATTTGGGCGCGCGTTGACACAAAATTCTTGAATTCGGCCCATCATGTCCTATCAGTGGATGATTGGCCTGGTGACGCGACTTTTTTCCTGTGGGCCAACCTGTGAAATCATCCGCAAGTATTCAGTCAAAAAAGGTCCAGCCCCTTGGATTTGATTTTTGACCCCTGCGCCTTTGCCTCTTGAAGTCACTTTTTTGGTTGGTGAAGGTGAACATATGTGGTTGTACCCCTTTTGCAAAGTCATTTAAAAAATCATACCCACTCAATTAATCATGGTACATTTTTTCCTGGGGTTTGACATTTAGATATGTTCTAGTAAACTCCCATTTGATCCATCCACCTTCAAATTCCTGGCTACTAACCTTAGGAATTCTACAAACTTACCCGTTATCAGAGTCATTCATGATTGATTTCCTGATGCCTTACATACACAGACTAGTAGATCAACCCCCCCTCAATCACAACAGACAGAAATTGATTTCCTGTCACTGTACGTCAGGAAGCTTTCAGGAAAAAAATTCTGGGCCTTTTTTGGTATGATATTTTTTTCCTGGCCCCATATCATGCCCCGGGACCCTCACCCACTGTCTGCTAGATTTTTGGAAAATAGTGCTTTTTAAAAAGCGTACTGAACCCCCAGGAAAAAAAACTGGTAGTACAGAGGAGGGTCATAAATCTTATATTTTTGGAAGTCTCTTCGATACAGCGTGCAGCCAAACACATGCCAAGTGGCCTCCGGAGGTTCTTGTGGAGGCAGACCTTCAAGCTTCCGCCGCCTCTCCTCCATCTTTGCTGCCATCTGTTCTTTGCTGCTTATCTTCTTCACAGCCTCTTCCAGAGTTGGTTGTTGGACCGCAGGGCTGTCATCAGTTTGCATATCTGAGTCACTGTGCTGACCAGGTGCGCCATGCAGCGCACAATCAGCTCGCCAGGCAGCCTCCATATCAAAGGCTCCCAGCGATGATGCGAAACCTGCAATTCCTGCAGAAGCTTCTCCGAGATCGGATTCCGATTCAGGCGGTACATGGCCCAAGGCCTCAAAGGGATCCTCGCCATCCGCCTCAGAGCCAGACCCCTCCATGCTTATTTCTGGATCACCACCATCCTCTGAATTGCTGCCAATCAGGAAGTGCTCAGTGATCGGTGAAGGAGGCTGTAAAGGTCTCCCAATCCTCCCATGTCTTGGCGACTCCAAATAACTTGACGCACTGCTTTCTCTCTCCATATCGCTGCCAATTTCAAAATAATCTACTCCTCCGTTGACCCTGCGTTGGTCTGCTTGTTCCGGGGCTTGTTCCAAGCTAGCTGGTTCCCCCTCTGGCTGCTCTGCATCTGATGCTTCAAAGTCTCCAGCAACTAATGACGCAGCGAGTGCTTCATCCTCGTCCTTTTCCTCATCCTTTTCCGCATCCTTTTCATCCTCCTTGACCTCCAGGACATTTAGGACGCTTGCTTCATCAGCTGGCTCATGCTCTGGCTGCGGAACATCTTCATCCTCTGCACGGTGGCTCTGTACGCCCAACTCTGCCGCTGCCGTGGAAAACGTGGAAGACTCCTGCAACGAACCAACTCCATCAGCACCAGCTGCCTGCAAAGCCCGGAAGAGAAGGCGATGTTGTGACTTTGTGCTATTTGGGGCTACCATGTCACCATGTCGGGATCGGATTTCTATGGATTTCTTATGACAATGTGATGTGTTAAGCAATCACCGTTGTCGTGTGTTGTCAAAATATGTCTAAATTCCATACAATCTACTCATATCATCCGATAGCCCTGTACTTTCGGTTGTTCTACGTTGCATTGTGCCAGGCAGACATATCAGACCCGTGGCACCTCCTCAAGAGCATAACTTGCTTGAGAGACTTCACCCAGAGGAGCCATCGCTGGCATGGCCTTGCCAGGAAGACTTGGAGGAAAGGCATGGCCACCGTAGCCGCTAGCTGAGGATGTTGCGGCTTCTTGGTTCAACGGGCCTGGTCCCAACGCCACAACTGTGTGTACAACCTTTGACTTTGCCTGCCCACCTTCCCAGCTGACATCTGTGCCAGTCTCAGCCATTCCAGCTACATACTCATGAAGCTCTGGTAGCCTCTGGTTCTCGTACTCCTGGGTGGGCTCAACTCTTTCAGACTCTTCTCCGCAAGTCGGGGCATCTGTTTCGTCGCGCACTTCTTGAGGACTTTCCATCTCTGTCGGTGTGATGGGAATTCTTGAAGGCGAAAATGCAGCACCGTCAGCAGGGGCAAGAGCCTCAGGATCCATCTGGCTGAGCAGACTGAGTTCTGCATTAAGATGTTGGCTCAGTAGGCAAAGCTCTTCGACCGGCATGTTGCGGTATGGGTTGGCTCGTTGAGCAGGGGAGTGGTCAGAGCTGTCAGCGCTGGGAGAATCCACATCCGCGTGCAAAGCATCACTGAGCGGAGAAAACTCATTGACTTCGGGGTCCTCCGAAAACGAGACAGACTTGTTGATCCGGTTCATCTTATCTGGTTCTGTCAAGCTCCTCCTCAACACAGATTTGATCGAAGAGGTCTCACCCACCGGAGGATCCTCTTCTGGTCCTTTGGGTCCTGGCCAAGATACAGCTCTCGGTAGTTGCCCAAGTTGCCCACCAAGAGGAATCACAGGCACTTCTGGTCGTCCCTCAGGAGGCCAGGCTACCCAAGCAATGATGGATTAATATAAACGAGATGGACACGGTGCCCCAAGTGAGGAAGCCGAAAACAAGGGAGGTACCAACAAACACTGTGGACACAGCATCCCAAGCTACTGATGAGAGTCTCATTCTGCATAGAAAACACCGACAGTGACTTGTTTATGCAAGGAATTGCCTGAGTTTGGGTCACAGAATGTTCAAATCATTTCAGATCTTCCCGACCACAAAGGTTAGCCAAGGCAAAGACTCGAAAAGTCGTGGAGGCCCCTCTGCTTCCAAGGGGATCGGTGGAACCTGCCAGGAGTTGCTATGATATGATCCGTCCTGTTTCACAATGCACATCCGACCACCATCAGTTGCGACAGAAAACTGCAAGTTGTACCAATGGTGGTGTTTGGTGTCAGGTTAAAGGATCCCTTGGTCTGTCACAGACTGCAAAACTGCAAAGATGTGTGCCTGGATGATCGGAATGGTCGAGAAATGAACTGATGATTATCCCTCGAAATGTCATGAGGCCTCTCGCTTCATTGTCTCGGACCTCGTCATCTCCTTGTCCATCGACCTTACTAGCAGGGATATAGAGACATACCCAGCCCACATGCGATGGCAGTAAGATATGGGAGCCGTCTCTTGGCTGGGATCCAACAAGCACAGAGCATCATCATTATGGACTAGGTTTCTGGCGGTGGTGCGATGCTGACTACCACCGGTCGAACGCAGGTCTTCTTCGTCTTCATCACTGTAATCGTCAGACTCATCATACTCGTAATCATACTCATCATCCTCCTTGCTACGGGTCGGATGGACACAAGCAACACTGACTTTGGCTTTGACGAAAGCAGAAAATGAAGCATTGCCATGCATTGCTCCTCTTCAGAATCTTCAGCATAGCTGTCCTGGACCGCTAATCCAGCCCACAAAAAGTTGCCGTTCATCCTACATCCAACTGATCCTGCTACAATTTCCCGCGTTGGATGGTTTTGGGCAGTGCTGTAGCAGTTTTAGGACATTTGCTTCTGGATTCATTCTCCTCGTAGTCGTCTTCATCTTCTTCCCGTTGAGCGGCTTCCTTCAAAATGCAGATGCATGCACGCATTTCAGCAGCAGTTGGCAGTTGGTGCCAGTGATCCAAAGCAAACACACACGTCCTCGTCATTCCGCACCATGGTGATAGTGTCAGTGTTTTTCTTCCTTGCCGAACAGTTCGTGAAACTAGTACATAGTGAGAATCACGAGAGACGGCAGAGTCAAGGTCAGAGCGCTCAATGCAGCAACACCTCTAAACTTTAAACATATCTAAACCATGTCATAGCTCAATTTGCTTACACCCATGTCCAAAACTTTGTTGGCACATGTCGGTATCAATCTCGGCAACATGCTACCTGGACGTATCTGGACAGGATGCACACTGATTAGCTCCTTGCAGCTGAGACTCTTTTGATCCTACGATCCCTCTTCGTGCTCGATCAAGGCTGAAGTGAACAGAAAGGTGCAAACAAACATGTGACCAAACAATGCAGATAGTGGGAGCCCGTGGTCATTGAAATAAAAAACTTTTGGGGCCACGCCTTATCTCTGTTAAGATCCAACAAATCCTTTCGTACCAGATTCACAACGTCATTCCTGCAAAATTACCAAAACAGACCGAATGTTCTTTCTGCACACATATGTGTCGGATTGCAAACAGCCAGTTTATTCGAGCGGAAAATGCTGCACAGGCAGACATGTTCCATCCAAGATCTGTGACAAGTCGTGAAGTCTTTCAGGTGACAGAATAGTTCCCCGCAAACTGAAACCAGGCTGTTAGACTCTGGACTAAGCATGGCATCTCACATGGCAGCTTTACTTGTGGAGTACCAAATCATGCCACAGATTCAAAGCTGACAGCGCTCGTGCGGCCTACAGTTTCATTCTTGTCAACTGAAGTCTCTCCCATGACTATACATGTGCGTAAGTGTGCATATGCATGTGCATCTAAATCATCTAAAGCAATGATTTACAGCTCAGCTAGGTGCTTGGTTATAACTCATAACTTTAGAACATTGGTGTGTTGACCGCTGCTTTGGCCAGCAACTGCCCACGCACCATATCTCTGTATGTTGTTGACATGTCATTCATGTAAAATGCATGGGTGTGTGTGTGTGCGCAACTCCCTTGGACATCTGAGCAGTTTGGTTGCCTTGTGTTGTACTGTGCTGTGTGGTCAATGCACACTATGTAAGATAATGTACTGATGTACTGTAACGCACTGCAATGTCGCGCAGTTTCATCTGTGAATCTATGGTGTGAAAATATTGGGCGATAATATGCAATAAATTGCAATTACACATTGTGTATATATATATATGCAATATATACATATATATATATATATATATACAATGTAAATATATATACATTGAGGGTTCAAGCAGCTGTAGACCCAAATCTCCCCCGCAGGCGGTTTCACAAACCTAACCCAAGCCATGCCTTTCTCTACCCCATGCAGGCTGTTACTCCAAATGATAACACGGGCCGGTAAGCTGCACCAAATGCTGATTCTCGCGAATCCATGGTTCGTCATCATCCCAGTCAGTTGATTCATCTATGGTGATCACAATGGGGACCCTGAATAAATAAACCTGATATGAGAATATGTTCGTCTGTGACTGGCCTAAGCGATGAAAGTCTGGGTTTGCCTGAAATAAGGCCCGCTGAGATAGCACAAAGGACATAGAATTGCAATTGTCGAACAGGATAAAGCCGTGAGAATCTCTGTCGTAATGTTGTAACTCAGCGGCCGTGGCACCCTGGACAGTTTGAATGAAAGGAGGCTTCTGGATATACGTAGGCAAAACGAAATGGAGGCATTTTGCCAAGGTGCTTTTGCCAGCGCGCGAAGGCGCCCGGAGCACAAGAAATTTGTACCGAGAATCTAAAATGGAATACTGTTTGGCCCAGTCTTCGACTCGGGCAACCACTTCTGGCAAAAATGGCTTTTGCAATGGCTGGAGCTGAGCCACCACTTCGGCCTGCTCACGTCGGAGGCGACTTTCGCTCTCCTGCTGCATGACTGCTTCCACAGCGCGTTTGCGGGTGATATAGCCCAAGCGCACCTGCAACCTGCTGCACACGGTGTTGACACTTTTATAGTGATAATTCTGGAGACATTGGCCCTCTTTCTGAAAATGCATCTATAGAATCAGAGACCCCAAGGTATTTTCAAGTTGACAATCTCTTTAGAATCGCTGCCCCCAAGTCACTCTCGTAGAGCCGTTTTTTGGTTGGGGGGGTTAGTTGGCCTTCTATAAAATCAGGCTCCCCAAGTGTCATTCATTGACAGCTGACCTGAATGCTCCAGTTGCTCTTGCCTACCTTACCTTATGCATTCCCAATTTTATAGAGCTCAAAGGCTCCAAGTGTTCACTGTCAACCTCTTCGATTATATACAAGGATGATCAATGATGATGAAGGAATTGTTGTGGGAAATTTGTTCTGCCAATACTTCTCGATAGAATTGAAGAACAGAGAACAGATCCAACTATAGAATCGCAGTGGCTAAGGCTTTCTGCTGACTAGGACTCAGTGCTGTATTCAACATGAAATCTCTATAGAATCAGAGGCCCCAAGGTCCTCTATACAATTGAAAGCGTTGACACTGGGTAGGTACCCCTAAACAAAGCAGGGGGTTAAAACGCACCATTTTCCAGGACCCAACGTTCTTGATTCTGTAGAGGAAATTCCAAGGGGGATATTTGAAGGTATCTGAAGATATGTTACGGCCAAATTATTGCTTATGTTCGGACACGTTATCAGACTCGAAGCAGCACTTTTATAAACAACATAGGTGTTTGTGACGTTCCCTATTCTATGAAATGGACCTGCTATGAAGTGGTCCCACTGAAATTCACATTGGGTTTATGTTATGTTCCATTTCATACAAATCTTTTCGGAGTTGGTCAATATTCTGGTACCCGAAAACTGCCCGCACGCCACCCTTTCGCGAACCGTTCGCGCTCCAGCAGAATCGGGACAAGGAATTCTGATCATGTTTTCGTGCGCATATGTGTTTATAAATAGTGGTATGCAGACCTCGTTGAATTTTAAGGTTTCTCCATCCCACTTTATTACTTGTATATTATGGTACCCATATTCCAGACCACATAAAATATGATAAAGAAACATTTATAGTATGGGTTTAATCATTTCATCCGGACATGGGTTCTTCCCTTCCATATAGAGCTTCAATCAAGGGGGATCGATAAACAGCTATTGACAAGTCAACTGCAATGACACCGCCTAAAGTGAGTCTTTGGCATCCGCACCCCTGGGTCCATGTATATATATATATATATAGATATATATATATATCCATAGATAGATATAGATAGATATAGAAAGACATATCTTTGTATAGATCTGTCTCGAAGAGATATATATATATATGTGTGTGTGTGCGTGTGTATCTAAACCTCTCTCGAAAAATGTCTCTATATATCTACATATGCTGATCGCCATGCAGCCATGGAGCGCCCAATAAATGTGGACCCTGATGTATCTCCGGAATGAAAACAATGCTGCTTAACCCAGGCACGCGTACTGCAGGTACTGCTGATGAGAAAGCTTGTGCCCACTCCACAGCGCATCCAGCCATCTGCCCTGCACTGTGTAGTCCTTGAACGCCTCGTAGGAGCTGGTGGCAACGAAATGGGTTCCTACCTGCACAGATCGCCCGGGTGAATTCCACCCAGCACTCAAGGCATGTCAGCCGAGGAAATGATCTGGTGGTGGGTCCAGACAATTAGATTAGATGTGATGCTGGCGACGAAACAATCTACATATGCCGCTTGCTGTCAATTCCTGTCTCTGCAAACGGCCATTTATCGCGAAGCAAAAAGTTTCTTTCGCGCATCCTTCGCGAACTGCATGTGTATCTTTCGCGCAACCCATGTTGAGCAATAACTCCGCTTATGAAGATTCAATCGGCACAGGCCAAATCACACCAAATTAGCACGGAAAAGTGCTTCATAGCCTTGCAAACATTGTGCTAGCATCACGGAATCCCCTTCGCGAACAGGTTCTTGCTGCTGAGGAACTTTTTTAGCAAGGCTTACTGGGCCACGCCCTTCAAAATGCCCTTTAACTTTACCTAGTCTTTTGCAGCACTTGCGTGCAACTGTCGTGCAAAGACTTGTCTCCGCAGACCACAGCCAGGAGCACGGGGGGGCGGCAAAGGAAAAGCAAACACCAGGTGCCTTGGTGTTTGGCTCTTGCAAAGTGTCCCTGTTCGAAGCTTGGCTGCTGCATTTCGCGGTTGTTTCTTGAGACTTCAGAAAGCAACGTTAGGCAGGACCAGCGGCAGGTGCAAGGATGTGCTTGGCCACCATGGTATTTGGCTCTGGCGAAGCGTGACCTTCGGAAGCTGGCTGCTACCTATGAAGGGAAAAGCCAATGTGCGGTCCCAGTCTCCTGCCGGACCCCCGACAGCAGGGAGGCGGTGGTAGCCCTTAACAAGCGGTACTGTAGACAATGAGGATGATGCATTCTATCCACCGTTCGCGACACTTTCGCGAAGCAAACAGTTTCTGTTTCGCAAACAAACTTTCGCGCGGGGTCCCAGCACAAATGAACTGTGTTTGCAATTGAAACTCGTTATCAGGACCTTCAGATGGATCACCACATATATATGTTTATATGCAGAGATATATTTCGATATATCGATAGTGATAAATCTTGAATCAATGCGTACAAAGAAGAAGGATTGCCTATGCAAGACCAACCACGTAGATAGCGGTCCAATGAGTTCAGTTCATCCAAATCAGGCTCGTGGGTGCCCAGACCAAGGTGGCCTACAAAATGTTTGACTGCAAACACGATCTGCTGCAAAGCTGCCAGGTCTACTGATGATCAACTAGAAGCTACGTCATGCTGCTGCCACACGATCGGATTAGTGACAAAGGTGGCCTACATGAACTGCAACTTTCAACATGAGATAGAATGTCGTTACAAGGTAACCCAACGGAGATGCACCTTTGCAGCCCAAACGTAAAAATGTCCTTGGTCTGCCGCATCTCGCCAGCGTGCGCCCCGTGCCCGACATGGGGAAAGATTGGGCTGAATGCCCTTGAAACGGAGCGCCGTGCATGATTGCCAGTCGACGGGGCGGGCGAATTCCAGGAAGCAATGAATATGTAGACGGCCAGCATCCTCCGAACGCAAACTTGATTCCATCGTGGCACTCCATTTGCCGACCCACTCACACGTTGCAAGCCAAGTAAGGAACTCATCGAAATCCGCCAGCTGCAGCTGCAAGGAATTGTAGGTTACCAACACTGCTCGTGCTCGAAGACGAAAAGGGCGGGCATCACCTGTGAAAAATGTGCAACAATGAAGTGGCTGCGACTAGGACTCATGACTATACCCCTTCTAGTTCAGTCTCTCCCATCTGCATGCAAGGCTGAGGCTTGCCTACTGTCACTGATGCATGTCATGTCCATCCACTGCT